GGGTGATCAGCTGATGCAGGCAGGACTTTAGACTTTCTGGGTCTGGGCTTGCCATGGAGGCCTGAAATTATTAATTTTATTTTCCTTTGAGACTAGTTCTTCAGCTTTTCATTTACTATGAAAAAAGGTCATCTTCAAAGAAAATGGTTGTTTGATGCTTCAGTTATTTAATTCTCTAGAGAGTTACTGAGAAGCAAAGTTGGTTCATGCCAATCATTTCTTTCCCATTAGAAAAGGAAAGTCACTTCATTATCAATAACGATTAGTGAATTTTTCTCTGGTCTCTACTTCAGGAATATCCAAAACTTCAGTGGCCAAGAGTTTGTTGTTAAGACTTCTAAGTTCACTTTGAGTCTGTGTAGGCAGCAAATTTGTATAGGGCTATGCACTTCTCAGCTTTGCTTAAGGTAATATTGAAAATGGGGAAAAAAGTTAATCACAAATAAAGTTGAAGTGCAACAGGTTTGGGGAGACAATGGACTCAGATTGGGATGTGAATTCATATGCTTCATATACCCAATTATTTCTGATGTGTGAAATCCAGGGAAATTATGTTCCAGACTCTGTGAAATTCATGTGGTACAAACCTGTTTTGCATCTTTTCAGGCAAAAGATCCGTGTGGTTTGAATAGCATCCTTGTGTGTAAGCACATCTAGTCCTTGGGGAAGAGGTTCCTCATGGTAGGGACACCACACAGAAGATGTTGGGTGTGTGTTCTCTGGAAATGAGATAGCTTATTATGGGTTAAAAAAAGGATACTCAGGAATCATTGAGATTTCAGGGATGTTCCACATACACTAGGGTAGGGAGGTAGGGATTGCCGTAGCATGCTGAGAGTCTACCAGGAAGACAGAGAAATCTGGTAAAGCAGGAAGGAAGTGGGTCTGCAGAGAGCCAGGGGTCTGGATAACCAAATGACCTCCTTAGGTAGCATTCCTTACTTTTATGATTCTAACGATGTGGGTGGAAGAATGTTTCTAGGATAGAATTGTGTGGGGGTCCGGCACATCTGCTGGGGGGCTTCTGACCAGCGGAGAGCCTCGGCCCCACTCAAATGTTCTCAACCTGGAAGAGGGAGTTCACGGAAGAAAAGATAGATAGACAGTGGGGTCTGGAGGACTGCCAGGCAATGCCAGAGCAGCGAGTTTATTTGTGCACACCACAGGTTATATACCTTTCAGTGCTTGAGGAGTGACGTACATTCCATTGTATCTTAAAATAAAATCAAGAACAAGAATCACAAGAAAAGGGCTACAGAAATATGACTCTTAATCATAGAGTGTACAGCAAAGGGACAATAAAGTTTGCAAAAGGGGGGTCACAAATCTAAACATGTGTTTATCTAAAATCAGTCAAACAAGCAAGTAAGATTGTTAACAAGGTACAGCTGGACCTTTCCAAATGTCATTCTAACCTTGCCTATTCATATAGGATCATATGCAAACAATATGATTGAGTTAGCAGAGGTAAACAAAGTCATACAGTTATCGTGCAGAGAAGGAACTAGGAGGCACACAATGTCTAACCACACAATGTCTCATTAGACCACAAAGCCTGAGCTCAGCCATCCTGTTGCAAATGTCAGAGGCAAAGACTGATGTTTATAAAATCAGTGCAACCAGACTTCCTCCTTTCCCTTAGCTCAACAGCCTCCAGGAGAGGAGAAACGTGTATAGGCTCAAGCTCAAGATGGCAAGGGTCCTGTCAAGGGCCCTTCGCAGGAGCGATCCCCACAAAATTGGACTTGAGAAGCTCTTTTCTGAGTACCTAGCCAGACCTGTTCAGCTTTGACCTCCTCAGAAAGAGACCCAGATAAAGGGGAGAATCGGCACCTAGAGCCCAGGTTCTGGGAGGCAGTCTATAAAAACTTGCATTTTGAAGTCCACAAACATTGACTGAATACCCTTCTTGTGCCAAGTGCCATGGAGATGCCAGGGATCAAGTACTGAGAGAGCTCCTGCTCTCAGGGAGCGCCAGGCCTCATGAAGGCAACAGATATTTAAACAGCTTGTTATAATTCAGTTGAATGATATTTTTAGGGAAAAAATGTTATGCAAGAATACAAATCAATTTTTTTCTGCCTGAGGAAGTCAGCTACGTTTTCTTAGAAGTGATAATATAGGTAGGCCAGGTAGTGAAGAGGGGCAGGGTCATGGCAAGTAAAAGGCTGAACTTTTAAGGAAGTATGGTGCTCTCAGGAAATGGCAAGCAGTCTGTTTCTGCAGCAGCATAAGATACCTGAGGGTGAGTGGAGTTGAAGTTGGACAGATGGCATGGCATCAGATCATCAAGGACCTGTATGTGACTTTGCTGGGGGAATAGGGATGAGAGCTTTAGTCAGAAGAGTCACATGATCAGATTTCTTTTAGGAAGATACATTCTAGGTATTTTATGGATTCGAGAGAACAGAGGCCAGACTCAGAGTAGAATCTTGTAAAGTACACTTGAAGGCATGATGTGGGTCTAACTCAGGGCCATTGCTAAGGGGGTGAAGAAGCAAGGTTGACTTTTTTAGGCTTGAATTTATCATGCTGACTTCCTTTTTAGTCATGTCTCCACCTGTCTGTGGGCTTCTATGGTTGATACTCTTTTAGTTACTACCTCTATAGTTGCTCTTGATGGAAGGAACAGAGAGAAGGTGGGCCAGCGTTCTCTCATATTACATGGGCCTTTTTCCCTCTCAGAGACTTTACCAAACTTTCCTAACAGTATTAAACTAAACCCAATTATTAATTAAAGAATTTTGTGTTATTATATTAGTAAATAAGTTCTCTCTTTTGATACCACCTTTTGTGACAGGCAATTATAACTTAAATGGCCTCAAATGGATTAATTTATTCATGAAACTTTCATTGACATTTGCAACATGAAGGCACTGTTTGCTTCACTGAAAGGTAGTAAAAGAGCTCTGACTATCTTCTGGCAGAAATTGCCAGTTCTGCTTTATTCTCTGCGCCACAAACCAAAGAACTTTCTCAAAGCATTAGGTTTATATATTCATTCACTCATCCATCAATTTATGTCAACAAACATTTGTTCAACATCACTACGTGAAGACAAAATGATGACATGAAGTGAGAAACACATTAAAGGGGGAGGAAATATAGAACAGAAAGTTCGAGATGGACTTCACAGTTCTCAGAAATCCCCAAATTTTAAAATGCCCTCACGACTTTGGGCACATTAATCTTTAATACTCTTACTACTTCTGTTGTTAAAGAGCATCTTGGTTTAGGAAGTAAAGTTTCGCTTATTAGATAGCCTAGGAATCAAATCTCTGTTTCCACATTTCTCTGACAGTTACTTGGAACTTTGATCCCTGGACTTTGCAATGTGGAACCATATTCACAGGTCACAGTAATTTCAAAAGATGGGCAAAGAAAGTATTTTCCATTGTCTATCTGTAGGATTTTCTCTTGCTTAAAGAGAGACTAAATAGGATGGTTTTCTAGGCAAGTGTGATAGAAAATATGGAACCTCCTCCCTCACCCTTTCGGAGGTCAGTCTATGAATTTGTTTGAAAATTATTGTCCAATTTCAGAGTTTAGCTAATTAGTTGTTTAAATGACTAAGGGTAATCAGAGAGCATAAAAGTATTATTTGCCCAGGCATATTTTGACCTCTTCTTTTAAAGCCCTTCCTTTCATTGAAAAAAAAATTCTTTCTCATTCTAGTCTTCTGCTCTTTTGTAGAAAGAGAACTTACTGGGAGTTAGGTGACTTGACTTCTGGTCTCAGTTTTGTGGCTAACTAGTTGTAGGACTTTAGGTCTGACGTTGCCAAACTATAGCCTGCAGGCCAAATCTTCACCACCATCTGTTTGGAAAAATAAAGTTTTATTGGAGCACAGCCATGACTATTTGCTTGCACATTGTTTATGGATGCTTTCTTGCTACAACACTGGGAACAAATACTTCTGATAGTAGCACATGGCCCACAGAGCCTCCAATATTTACTGTCTGGCCCTTTACAGAAAAAGTTTGCCAGCCTCATATTTGGTCAAGTCACTATCTTACTTCTGCCTCATCTTCCCCATTTGCAAAATTTGGAAGTTGGAATTTATACCTTTCTTACATTTGGTCATTGTAAGTGCTTGGAAATCCCTCTTTTTTACTTATTTTGGGTCAGTGTGCCTCACCTTGCAGCTGTTCTCAGAGTGCAGTCTTCAGAGCATTAACCAGGAACTTGTTAGAAATGCAAATTCTCATATATTTATGGACGTTTCAGAGAATACAGCCAAAGGCAATGTGCCTGACATGTGGCATATTAACATGTGGATACTTTTGACATTGGGTTCACCAACAGGTCATGTTCTTCTTACATTGTTACTCTAGAACGCTTCTGACAGAGCAGTCTCATCTCAGGTCAATCATTTTATACTGGGACATAAACCTATTCAAATTTTTTTCAATTTACTAAGCTCCTAATACTGGCAAACCAGTGTGGAACACTAAGTCTAAGAGAATCCCTGCCTTTGAGAAACTTATAATCTGGTTAGAAAAAATAGCTACAAGGTTTCAAACTTAAATTACAATAGAAAGTAATATGGGATAACGTACCACATTAAGTGATAATGATTAAAAGATTTCAGAGGAGAAATGTCATTGTGGACTGACATGATTAGGGAACACTTGTAGGAGAAGGTAGGATTTTGCTTATAGTCATCTTCATGGCCCTCTAAAACACTGGGTCAGTGTCCTTCCAAAGCAGTAGTTTTCCAGATTTTAGGATGCATAAAAATCACCTGAATTAGCAGGAAAAAATGCAAATTCCTTACACCTAGCTTTCGAGATTCAAAGTAGGTCTGGGGTACAGCCTAGAAGTGAGTATTTTCACTAAACACCCAGATAATTTTGATACCCATTCTGATAAGTTGTGAAGTATAATTACTACCCAGGAATTTATGCTGTTTGGTAGAGTTTTTGTGAACTGTGGTTATGTATGACTAGAAGGAACTCCATTGTTCATGGAGCAATTACTTCAGTGACTTTCTCTTTTAGAAAATGTGAGACCTCCTAGGCCAAGAAGAACAACCTGAGGACCCTATTTCTGAAGGTCATTGAACTCCTTTAGTAAGTCCGGAGGAGAAATGTGAGATCAGTACATCTTTTGAATCTATGACAGCTAAGGGTACATCTCTTGAAATAGTCACTGTACTAACCACTTCCTTCAGCATTTGACTCTTGGCTCCTTGTGTTGTGAGCTCCTTGTTCCTGCAAAGCTGGCTGGGGTCACCACAGTAGGTCAAAAAAAATCTATCAATGACAGAGATAGGGAATCTCCAATCTCTATCCCAAGACATGTTCTTGATGACTTGAGCACATCATTAGATGTTCAGAATTCAGAAGAGAGATTTCATCTATGGGAAAATGACCCTCTGAAAAGAAGTATAAAAGCATCAAAAGAGTCATTGGAGTGGACACCTGAGAGTCATGTGGCTGAGGTTTCACAAGATCCCACCATGCTTCCAGTCCAGAGGAGAAAGCTAGACCCATTCCCCAAAAAGAATAGGCATCATAAGAAGACCAGAAGGACAAAAAGAATGAGGAAGGAGGAAATGGAGGCCCTGCGCCCCCTCGTTCATCCAACGCCTTCAACACCAGCACAAAGTGAAGAAGATGAGGCTGTAGACAAAAAGCCAGCTGTACTCAGTGCCCAGCAAGATAATCCTGACCTTCTCCATGAGGTAGGGATAATGCACAGGGCGGCAAAATCCTGGGATTATCACTCTTCCATAGGAAAAATAATGACAGCTCTTCACTTGGCGTGGGAAGAATTGGGGGTAAGGAGCTTGAGAAACAAATTGGGATCATTGGTCCCAGAAAGAACATAGAAGAATTGGCTCCGAGAGTCATGTTCTTTTTGCTTATGGTTATTCGCTTTGAGGGCTTTTAACCCCTTTCTTTTACTTACAGGACAGATTACAGAGTCTACAGGAAGAAGGCTTCAGTGTGATGCATCAGGAATGTCAGATCCGGTCCGATGACCTCTCGGTGGCTCAGGTGCCCTCTTCTCCAACATCACCACCATTCTGCTTTAGCGGTTTCCTCGGCTGTGTCTGCCCGACCTTCTCAAGGTCTAGGAAGCGAAGCCTCCCAGAAGGAAGGGTAAGGCAGGAGGTGATGCTGAGGTCCTGAGGCCTGGCCTACTGGGGAGTCTGCGCAAAACCAGAGTTGAGCCTCAGCAAGATGTGTAGCCACTCGAAATTGATACAGCTTCCCCTTGTGTTTAGTTTTATAGTTCTCTCTGTATGTCATCATTCCTCTTAGTTGAGTTTTTGCCTGTCAAAGAGAGAGCTGCTTTTATGCTAAGATCCTCAAGCCAAAATCCACAGTAAAAGCAAAGTTAAACTTTGAGACTTTTAACTTTTACTCAGTGATGGAATTACTTTCTACTTCCTTCCCATTAGGTAGAAGGTGGGATTCTGTCTGGATTAGTTATTCCCAAAATTCATATGTCTATAGCTCAGGATTGAAGTGATACCATTTCATCATTTTCAGTAATGTTTCCCGATATCAACAACCAAATGGAGACCTTCCATGTCCAATTCCTTTTATTTTCTTTTACCTTTTACTACAGATTCATTTTGTATCTTTCTTCTTATTCTTCTCCTTCTTCTTCTTCTTCTTGTTCTCCTTCTTCTTCTTCTCCTTCTTCTCCTTCTTCTCCTTCTTCTCCTTCTTCTCCTCCTTCTCCTCCTTCTCCTCCTTCTCCTCCTTCTCCTTCTCCTCCTTCTCCTTCTCCTTCCCCTCCTCCTCCTCCTCCTCCTCCTTCTTCTTCTTCTCCTTCTTCTTCTTCTTCTTCTTCTTCTTCTTCTTCTTCTTCTTCTTCTTCTTCTTCTTCTTCTTCTTCTTCTTCTTCTTTTTTCTTCTCCTTCTTCTTCCTTCTTCTTCTTCCTCCTCCTCCTCCTCCTTCTTCTTCTCCTTCTCCTTCTTCTTCTTCCTCTTCCTCTTCAATATTTTGTTGAAATTCTTCCATTTTCTAAGATGAATAAGCCTCAGGATGTCCTGGCTGCTACACAGCTATGACTTTCTTCATCTCTAACCAACGCTTGGTTTCTTTTTTGTCACTTGTTAGTGAGGTACCTGGCTCTCCCTTCTGAAATGTACCTTTGGTGTTCTCTAGCCATCTGTATTGAAAGCATAATCACACAGGTAATATTTCTTCCTTGTCATTCTGTAGTCAGACTTTCACAGAATCCTGAGTTCTGAGAATCCTAAAGAAGATAAGTACTCTAAGAAAAGTTCAAGATCATTTCAATTCCCTCTTGTTCTGGTATGCTAGGTTAATCCTTTTCCTAGGATGTAAGAGTTTAAATTAATCTTACACCTTCTTTTGAGGGAGTATGTTTAAGAAGTGTTTAGGAGTTTCCCTGTAGCTTATCATTTGTTGTTTCCTAATTGTCCCAGTTTCCCAAGTCATGTAAGAATAATCAATAAAAGCACGAATATAAATAAATGTGCAAAGTATCTGCATAAGAAAGAAATAATATAAATTATTTTATTTTGTCCTTAGCACTGACTTTGATGCTTACTATAAAATCAGAAACGTGACTGACATGTTGATTGTTTTCTTGACTGAATCAAGGCTTTGTACGGTTAGAAGAATATAAATTTCAGATAAGGAAAGATCTACACAAGCACTTAGTTTCGAAACTTTTCTGCTCCCATGTGTCTTGACCCCTTTGCTCACAAGCAAGAGAAGGGGAGTTTACATCTCCTCTGATGCATTTGGAAATAAGAAGGTGTGTTTCCAGGTTTCAGCGTTTGTGTTGCTGTATTCAGGAAGGGAATAGAATGAGTTGCAAGAGTGATGGCAAATGTCCTCAGGGGTGCTTTGGAGGTAATAGGTAAAAACCACATTTTGAAGAAATTTCATGGTTTGGTAAGGATTTCAAATTAGAATAAGAAATTCTGCAAAACGTCATAGTACTTAGAGTAAAATCGGACACCTTTCTAAAGTCAGTCATGCTTTAAACGTTTTAGTTGTCTAAAAAGCAGTTGATTTCCCATTTTAGACAGTATTGAGTTTTCTTGAGCTAATTGACCATTATAAATGGGTTTATTATTTAATACAAGAAGCACACTCCCAGGTAAGGCATAATGTATGAAAGTCCTGAGTCATAGAGCCTATTATTAGAAGCTCACCAGAATGTAGGTATTAATGTTGCCGTTATACTTTATTAGATGTTTCTGCTGTGTGTCTTGACCCTTTACTCAGAAACAAGAGAGAGGGTGTTTATATATCCTCTGATGCAATTTGTAAGTGGGAAAGTATATGTTCCTGTGTCTCAAATTTTGCGTTGCTTTCTTTATGGTTTGAATTATTAACCATGATTTATGACTTAATAAGGCTATTTTTGAAAAATATACTTAGAAAAATAGTATAGCTGTTTCAAAGTAAAAACAAATTTAAAAATAAAACTTGCTAGTATTGATGAAAGATACAGGTTATGAGTCATTTAAAAAAACTTTTCCCCTGCAAAGCAGATAAACAGGTATTGCACATGCATTGTAAATAGTCATAATTGACAAGTACAGAGGTGACCATATTTAATGTATTTAGTCCCCATGGGGACTCACAGAACTAGTAGGTATCAGATGTTGCTGTACTCATTGTTACAGATTGAATAAGCTAAGGTTCAGCAGGTCAGTTAAACTTTTCCAGCGATTTTTCTAAGATCACTCATTTAGTCTGATAAATGATTATAATACAAGTTTTTGAAACAAATCATCGAACTACGAGTTCTGTGGTTTTATCATGTAAACAGGATTCTTTTGCTCTGATTTTTGTCCCAACATTCAATATTGAAACATTTCCTACTGACCATTTTGTTTTTGTCTACTTATTCTCACATTACTGTCTAAATTCCAGCTAGCACCTATGTTACTTTCTGGGAAATTTTAACATGAAAATACTGTGGCTAAAGTAAAATTATACCAAACAAACAAACAATTAAAAGGGTTTACTTATTTCCTGAGTTTTGACAGGAAATGTTGAAAGTATCTAGTCCTGCCCTCTTATTTATCAGAGGAACCTGAAACAGAGAAATTAAATAGCTCTCTCAAAGAGACATAGCTGGTTAGTGACAAAGCTAAAACAAATAACAGCTAACATTAGATAAATACTGTGCTAACTCACACATCAGTAATCTTCAGGCCATCTGCATGGAGTTGGTATGATGGTTTAAGTTCAGAAAAGTCCCAAGACTGGCGAGTCCTGATGCAGAATCCAAGCCTATGACTGCTAGTCTCTGAAGCCTATACTTAGTACTTTGTACCTCTAAGTATTATAAATTAAAATGCCTTTGTTACAAGTCTGACTGTAATATTAAGAATTAATAATTTCTCTTATTTGCCTAAATTTAGATTTTAGCTGTAGCACATATACAGTAAAAATAGTCTAATAAAAAAGTCCAATTAAAAAGACTATTTCTTTGGGTAAAATTTCTGTATTGGGCTCTAAGTAATAAAATAGTTAGAACCTTAGTGTGATTGATAGAAGAAAACTTCAGTGTAATATAAACAAACTTTTAATCATTACAACCAATTAAGCAGAGACAATTACTTAACGGAAAAGTGATTAAGAAAAAAGGAATAGCACATAATCAAAGGAGGGTCCTTGACTTGACACGGTCACAAGACAAAGCACAACAAAGATGAATTAGGCTCCGCAGAAAGCTAACAGACTTAAAGGCATTTCTCAACTGTTGTCAGGTGGAGTTTGAGACTTGGGCAGTAGAAAGACAGGCTCTTCACCGTAAGCCAGTGACCCTTGAAATAAGTAAGTAGACTCCTGCTAATGAACTCCAGGCTTTAAATGGGAAATTTGAATTTTCTCACGCTTCAAAACATTCTTTTCATTCTGATTTGACAAGGCCCTTTTCAAGACAGAAGAAAGAACAACAGAATTGGAAGAGTTAAATCACTTGGCTGCGTAATCAAGGAATTTGGTTCTTCATTTTTGCAGATTCAAGACACGAGGACAAGTGCTATTGTATGCAGGAGAGCAGATTGGTGCACATTTCTGGAGCTATCTTCTGACAGCTATAAAGAAATATGGCACTGCCCCCAGCCTGGAACCTTTGTGAAGAACTGTCTCAGACACATACAGTTATCACCCTCTTGGTTCACAATGCTCACCTAGAGAAGGGCTTTGACTGTGATCCGTGGTTCTCCCCACCCTCAATACCTTGTGCCTTAGAGTCAGTCCTGCAGTTGGTGAGAGGGCCGTGATGTCTATTTTAATAGTAGTTTAGATGAAAAGATAAACTTCTAAGCAGATGACAAAATTCTTTACACAATTACGTAATTTTAATGAATTCAACATTCTGCAATTCTATTACAAATGATTTCTAATGTGAAATTGACTTATTTTCTAGTTGTAATCGGCATTCTGATTCTAGAATGCCTGTGAAGGTACTCAGTGTTGGAGCCTTATGATAGTACTCTTCTGGCAGATGACACAGTGGATCTATTGTGATGAAGAAACAGTAACTGAGACTTTTAATAACTACTGTGAGAAAGATCTTTATACTTGTCCTTATATTTGGAAGAAATAATTAAAACGACTTGAAAAATTTTTTAAAACACACACACATTTCAACCTGCATGTAGTACCAAAACTTGTTCTTGGCCAGTGATGCTCAAAACTAATCTCTGGCTAAAATTTATATATAAACCAAAATAGATTTAAAAATAAAATAGTAATCACATAACCTCTTCTCTAAAGCTACCATTCATCCTAATTTAAAATGTCTCGTTTTAAAGTTAAAATTGTGAAGCAAAGGTCTATACCCAATTCTATAAGTCATCTAATTCTAAATATTTTGTAATTACCTAATAAGTATTTGTGAAATATCTGCCTAAGTCTGGACTTAGAAGATAGATATTAGCTCCTCGTTTTGCCATTTATTACTCCGTAACTTGGCTATTTATTTAAACTCATTTATCTCTGGTTTCCTCATCTAAAAAAAAAAAGGAGGGTATTAACATATCAGGTGTTTTTTACTGAGGATTCTATGAGATAATATCGCTGAAAACCTAGTGGTTTTTTTATAGTAGAAGGCTTTTGCAATTATCATGTCTATTGAATTCCTATAAAGCAAGACATTAACTCCACTACATGCTACAGGAGGGTAAGCTACTCATGTAAATTCTTATTTGAAAGGAAATTAAATTTATGTCTGGGGGGAATAATGTACCAGCAAATAGATTTAATATGTGTTTATTTCCAATTTTTGTGTGTGTAGAGAAATTTTTTACCCCAGAATTAGACAAGCCAAAACATCGTTGCAACCTGTGAAATCAATATTAGTTGAGCCTTCGTCTTTGATTTATAGGGCTGCACAGACACCCATCTGGTCCTAAACTGCTGTGATTTTTGCAACCGCTTTTAAAAAATAAGTCATTAGTATTTTCTTAAAAGACTTAATTGTAAAGACGGTTGTTACTCAATGGCTGTCATAGGGTAGTGGTGGTGATTTTTTCTGCTTCAACCCTCTTGAGTGACACGAGATATTCTATCAATAGCAACACTTCAGTATGGCAATGACTATTAATGAAATGAGGATAGAAGCGCCTCTCAGATACATTAGAATTTTGAAGAAATTTTCATTGGAAAAGCTCCCCGCTATTCTAATATTCCCGTTTGCCATTTCTTCTGTCCACCTGTTGAATATTACACCAAGACTGACTAGGTAAGGAACTATTAAACTTTTATGATCTGTATTTTATTTTGCTCCATTCAATAGGTATGTGTGGAACATCTGTGCCTAAACTGAAGCTATTTTATCTCAAAGTCAAGGAAAGTAAACATAAATAAAAAGTGGAAGAACCTGTCTGTGCTGTTAAATAATATACAGTATGTTCGGAGACAGTAAGACAAGCACTTATATAATGAGCACTAAGAAAAGCAAAAGTATCTGAAGGTGCTCAAGAGGATGCTACACAATGTGATTAAGTAAGAACTGAAGCAGTGCCTTGTAAAGGAAGGATTATTGCAAGGGGGAATATAGGGACATCTTCTCTGATAGGTAACTTTTGAGCCAGACCTTGAATGAAAAGAATATGGTCTAGATTCATCCAATCCCACATACAAAGAGGTTAAAACCACTTTACTGGATAGAGTCATTTTGGAGGCTGGTGAAACCAAAGAGCACTGTAAGCCAGATCCAGGATAGAAGCTGATAGAAACTGTGAAACCGTTATGGACAGGTCATTATGCCCAAGTGTAGGCAGTCCAAAAGATGGGTCAGGAACAGAACAGAAAGCTAGAAAGTTGGGGTTTGAATAAAGGCAGAAATGGCTTAAAGGCATTCACAAAGGCTGGAATAAAGAGAGCGCCCAGGACTTTTATCTGAACAAGAGAAAGGTCTATGGGGTCCTGGCCATGAAGTGTTTTTGGTGGAGAGCATTAGCTGTACATAATGCTCTTCATCTACACCAAGACAACTCTGATTGGGGCACATTAGGGGAGATCCCCCAAGAAGATTGAGTGTGGATTACTCATCAGTTAAACAGGTTGGGATGAGATCAGCATTGGGCTGATTTTAGAAAATAGATTCAGAACTGCTATATTCAGTGATTAAGAAGAAGTAATGCATTCCCCCCTTTCAGTCCTCTCACTACTTTGCTTTAAAATGCACACAGGTGCACACACAGACAGACATAGATGCACAGGCACAAATATGAAAATGCATCACAGTTAAAATATCAATTTATTAATTTTTGGTTAAGTGCTACACAGCAATCCACCTGAAAACTTCATAGCTTAAAACTATGACAATCATTTATTTAACGTATGACTCTTCAAGTTGGTTGGAAAGACTATCTGTGTTCCATGCAGCATCAGCTAGGGTGGCTAGAATTTTGACTGGAGGGTTCACTTTCAGGATGGCACAGTCACATAATTGGCAAGGTAGTGCTTGCTGCTGGCTGGGAGCATAGCTAGGCTGTAGGCCAGGGGCCTCAGTTCCTGTCTACATGGGCCTCTACAGACTGCTTGGCTTCCTCTCACAGCATGGTGGCAATGTTCCAGGGATGAGCTTCCCAAGAGAAACAGGTGTAAGCTAGATTCTATGATCTAGTGTAAAAGCACTTAGAGTCAATTCTGCTGAAGCCACAGGCCACCCAGCTTCAAGGGGACCCTCTCCCTTCACACTTCAGCCGTTATCTCTATGGAATGACTGTCAGTATCCCTGTGTTAGTCTGTTTTCATGCTGCTGATAAAGATATACCCGAGACTGGGAAGAAAAAAAGGTTTTATGGGACTTAGAGTTCCACATGACCCTCCCCTCCCAGCTGGGGAGGCTTCAGAATTATGGCAGGAGGCGAAAGGCACTTCTAACATGGTGGCAGCAAAAGAAAAACTGAGAGGGTTGCAAAAGTGGAAACCCCTGGTAAAACCATCAGATCTCATAAGACTTACTACCAGGAGAACAGTGCAGCGGAAACCGCCCCCGTAATTCAAATACTCTCCCAGCAGACCCCTCCCACAACAAGTGGGAATTATGGGAGTACAATTCAAGATGAGAAATGGGTAGGGACAGAACCAAACCATATCAGTCACATCGTTAGAAGAGCACGTGGCATGGGAGATTTGTGGCTGTCTTGGATAACACAATCTGCCACAGTGAGCTCTACATTTTTGGATACTATTTAAAGGAATTTTTAATTCAGGCGCCTCTGAATTCCCAAAAGTGACAAGTCTATTGTGGTATGTAGGAAATATTTTCAGAAAGAATTGCATTCTAAGGGAGGAAATATTTCTGTGGAGATTTCAACCAGATGTGAAAGGTGCCATGAATACAACAAAGGGATGGGGGCATTAGCAGACAGGTGATTTAACACCAACAGCTGAGTGTAACGATTTAAAAACTGAAGTTAGGAAACCCCCTACTCTGCTGATGTTAGTGAAAGGGAATATTACAAATAGCCAAGAACCTTCAGATGTGGCTCTTTTGAGACAGCGTAGAGTACACATTGCTAAATCTAGATTTCCCTTTCTTTGACTAAACAACATTTTTTTGTGATGTCTGGAGGCTCAGAAAAATCTTATGATAGGAATCTGACCCACCATCTGGTCTAAAAGCACCAAATTGAAAGTGGACAGGAAAATCGTAGGTAAGTGTATGTCTCAAGTATGCTTCAACATTCTTTGTTAGTAAATATTTATTTAGCGCTTACAGGTGAAATATAAATAATGACTGTAGTATTCCTTCAAGTCTGATTAGAGCTTAGCTGAAAACAGCAATCAGTGAATCAAATGGGAGAGCTTTGACCCTCCTGCCAGAGGAGAGCCATTTAAATGAGCTTTTAAATGATCTATTTCAGGACTTTGAGCGGACACCCAGCAAAATCAGTTTGCTAAAATCTATACCAGCTGGCCCAGGTGGCTTTTCCTAGTCTCTGTGTCTGTTTTATTCACAAGTGCACTGCTATCGATTTGTATAATGAGGCAATAGCATACCAATGACAGCTTCCCCGAAAGCCATCTCATTTCTCTGTCTAGGATTTGGAGCAGGAAAGAGACAATAAACAACACATTTTCCTTCTGAAAATATATTTGTCACTTTCAGCTTGCTTTCTTCCTTGCAAAAAAGACTATCAAAGGCAAATTATAATTGAATATGGCAATGCTTTTCTTTTTCTTATGGAATGTTAACTTGGCAGAAAGAATCTGCCCTGGCAGAAGAGAAAATTAATCATGTTTGATCTCTCACTTTACTGGCCTCCAAGAAGTATTCTTGTCATTTGTTTTCCACCATTGTATTATTTTAACTGATCTAATGTCCTTCAGTAATTTTCTTTTGTTTAATCATTTAGCTTCCTGATGAAGAACCAGGGTAGTTAAATGATGATGCATTTGTGAAAGTTATGTCCACTCTGTATGTGACCACTGTTGTCGGGATAGGAAATCTCTGGTAGTTCAAGGGAAAATGCTAGACCTGAAGAATTAGGAACACACAATGAAAAAAGGATTTTTATCTCTTTATCTGGGCACTTCTTAGAATGGAGCTGTGGGTGCATTTACCTAGGAGAGCTGAGGCACAAGCAGGATTATGTGACTGTCAATGTCATTTAAGCCTTCTTGCCATTTACTGATTTGTATCGGATAATTTATCCAGCCTAGACAACTTCATGTACAGGATTAAAGGCTAGGATCACAGCACCTAAATTTCAACACCTTCTGAGGCTGCCGGGGCATAGAAATTGTGTGACTGGGTTTGCTGCTAAGGTTACTCTCCCTGACTCTAGGCAGAGATTGAAAATGAACTTGCAGTTTTTATTTCATCTCCTTTAGTGATGACAGTCCACAAGGTTGAAAATTGTGCATCTTCTGCGAGTCACACAAGTTCTTTGACCCAGGACCTATAACTGATTGCATGCACTTAACATTGTGTTTGGAAGCATGTTCCAAAAGGAGTTATTTTGAAGCTCAGTATTCTCTCTCCTTCCAGTTTAATTCTTTTTCTATTCCAAGTTCCATTTCTGTTTTTGAATGACTACCTTTGAGTTCAGAAAATTCATTCTAAGATGTCTGGAGATACTGATATGACATAGACCACATAAACAGTTGAGTTTTGCAGTGTATATGCTTCTCTTCTTTCAGAAGAAATGTTAAATGAAGCGCTTATGTTTTGCTTTAAGGACTTAGGCTTAGAAAACCTTTCAAACAGCACGACTTCTTTAGACAGGTAGTAATTTATTGTTAGGCATTCTGAAATGGTTTGCCTGGCAGAAATAAACATACAATAAAATTATCCGAAAACTATTCAGGTGAGTATTTTGATTCAACGATTGACAGGAAAATTTAGAATTTGAATATTTTGTGAATTGTAGTAGCGTCTTTAGCATTTGAAGGGATGTGATGGCAAATCAAATGGAAAGGAATTTTGATATTAGTATGGAAAATGTGCAGTTATGTAGAAGATACTGAAGGTACTGAAAAAAAGACTTCAACAAGGAACTGAAAATTATATTCAAAATCCATGAAGATCAAGGACACTTGGTGATTGACAAGTATTAATAGAACTGTTAAAAGATGTTTTGTAGCAATTGCACATGACACATTTCAGCATTTCTTCAATGATTTCAATATTATTTTTTTTGTTTATGTGCTGATTGAAGTTTAGCAGATGATATGTAAAAAGCCAAAAGGCTACATGACATGAAGAGCTTTATAATTGTCTAGCTGCCAGTGTTTTAAAATATATATACACACATATATATACACACACACTTTATATATATACATATATATACACACAAACAATAAAAAATATTTTAAAACTTTGTATACACACACGGACACCCACATTCCAGAAAATAAATCGGCAAATAGGTTGCAATTTTATAACTGGTAGAAAAGACACAGGCATATTTGATTGGAATATCACACATTAAAAACAAGTACATTTATTTATATCAGACAGAACAAGATTCTTTGAATCATAATTTTATATGCTATTTTTTTTCTAGGAAGTAATGTGAGAAAATTTTTTTAGGAGAACAACACTATAGTTTTCCTCAAGGAAATATTTAAGTAGTAGAAAATCAACACAATGCCAATTTGAATAAGAGTCCAGTGTTGGAGTAGAGATGTTATAAAGATTCATTAATTGAAATTGTGTTAACATTTATCTATTCTTGGATTTCTCCACCCTGAAAGTCAAGTATACAGTCAATGTTTCTCAAACTTTATGAGCATTGGAATCACTGAAGAAGCTTCTTAAAAATATTTTTGCTTGAGCTCCACCCTCAAAGAGTCTTATTCAGTAGATCTGGGCTAAGCTTCAAGGACCAGTATTTTTAACAACATTCTTTGGCCTTCTCCCTAAATGTGTTATGATGTACAACAAAGTCTGAGGGCGATTGGAACTGGCAAGATACACACACTATGATAGGATACCATAGGACTTGAATGGAAGGACATTAATTTTTTTAAATGTCAGCACTTATCTGAAGTCTATGGTCTACATGAAGTATTTTTGTCTAGATTTTGCTTCCAGATTAATCTTGCCATTTACTTTTTCCATAATTCCTCTAAGAAATACTCAAAATGTATTTAGATTTTCATGTTTATCAGTTTGTGAAAGGGCCAGATTATTAGGATTGAGTTGCTTCTATTAATGGCTTCATTTTAACCTGTTACACTTTTCTTTTGGCTTTGGTGGCAGATGAATAAAAATTACAGCTGTTTGGAATACACAAAATTTGTGCATGTACAGGTATTTAAGTCAAGAGAAATAGTATTGAAAGATGCAAGGTGTTCACATGTTCTCACTCATAAGTGGGAGTTAAACAATGAGAACATATGGTCACAGAGAAGGGAACGTCACACACCAGGGCCTGTCAGGGGATGGGGGGCATGGGGAGGGATAGCAATAGGAGAAATACCCAATGTAGATGACAGGTGGATGGGTGTAGCAAACCACCATGGCACATGTATACCTGTGTAACAGACCTGCACATTCTGCACCTGCATCTCAGAACTTAAAGTATAATTTTAAAAAGAAAGATGCTATATTTAAAGTGCCATAACTTCTCTACTGCTGCATTAAGAATACACATTAATATTCCCTTCCAACTGGCTATTTGCCCTCAAATCACTGTCCTATTAATTGGCAAGAACTGAAGATAAAGCATTTTTAATAGGCTTGCAGCAAAGCTGATAATGTGGGAGATAGCTAGTCCAACATTTTGGGTAGAGAGTAACAGTTTGTAAAGAGAATGCTAGCTTTGGTTGGATAGCCCTGATTGTTTGAAGCATGGAAAGAGATGGTATAATTGATGTGTTCAGGCCACATTTTAAGGTGTGATTAGAAGACAAAGAGGTGGGGATCCTGGCCATCAAACTAACTAGGACCAAGTGACATATGAACAAGTTATTGGGAAGGCGGTATAAGATCTGTTTGAGAAGTGACCTGGTGTGTTCAGTATAGCCACAGACTCAAGAGCTAAGTTCAGAGGTTTCAATCACAGATCTGTCACTAGTTATCTGACCATTGACAAGTCACTTATTCTCTCTGGTCATCGTTTTCCTCATTTGTAAAATATAGATAATAATATTTAACTGTATTAGTTCATTTTCATGCTGCTGATAAAGACGTACCTGAGACTGGGCAATTTACAAAAGAAAGGGGATTAATGGACTGACAGTTCCACGGGGCTGGAGAGCCCTCACAATCATGGCAGAAGGTGAAAGGCACAACTCACATGGTGGCAGACAAGAGAAAAGAACTTGTGCAGGGAAACTCCTCTTTATAAAACCATCAGATCTCATGAGACTTATTCACTATCATGAGAACAGCATGGGAAAGACCCGCTACCATGATTCAATTACTTCCTATGGGGTTTCTCACACAACACATGGGAATTGTGGGAGCTACAATTCAAGATGAGATTTGGGTGAGGACACAGCCAAACCATGTCACTACCCTCAGAGCAGTTTTATGTGTATTAAATAAGTTGACACCTCTTTTAATTGAGGTAGAGTAAATAACAAATATTCTCAAATATCTTACACATATTGAGAGTAGGTACTATTTGAGATGGAAACATAACCGTTAAAACAGGAATGGTTTCTATGAAGGCTACATCTAACATTATGTATATTGGAATTCTTTTATTTATTGAAGCATTTATTGTATGGACATTTGTGATTATTTATTATGAGCTTATTGTGCTTGGCAATGTGCCAAGCACTGGGGAGAAAAAGGTAGATAGACGCCTTCACAATAAGGTGTTAGGAAACGCCTTATAGTCATAATAACTATGGTACTTTGTTATTTAAAGGGAATTAATTCAGTGAATTAACTTTTGAAATTAGTGAATATTGGAGGCTTAAGGAAGTCCCAGCAATTTACCGCTCCCAACTTCCCACCTTTTTCTCACTGGAGTATCTAGCTAACATATAAGATGAAGGGATAAATCATATGGAGATCAAGATATTCAGTATAATTTCCTGAAATTGAACAATGTGGCTTCTGTCTATAAGGAAGCTTCCTAGTACTGAACTCTAGAATTAGTGAGACTTACCTAAGTCACAGTAAGTGTTGCACCATGCATAGCTCTCCTCTAAGGACAGAACTGTTGCCGATAAATTTCTCATTTGACTCAGAGTAACTGAGAACACAGTTTCTTTATAGGAAAGAGAAGAGGGGAGATGATGTAGCTGGGTGGCATAATCCCTTCTTTTTCTTCCAGACTCATCGATTATTTTAGTTACTCCTAATTCCTTAGGGAACAGTAGGTTAGAGTGAAGAGAGAAGCCTGATGTGTTACATGGAAGGATATCTAAAGATGGGCAAAAAGTCCCCCACCCTGTTCTCTATTTTTAGGGTTTTAGCTTGCCAAACATATTCTATCATTCATTCTTCTTGCTACACATACTCCTGTGAGATAGGTTTCCTTTCTCTTCTCTCTGTTATCATCCAAAATTTAGGAATTTTATAAAATGGAATTTTGGATTATAGACACAATGGAGTAAACATGCTATACCCTACTTTTTCCACAAACTGCAATAAATATCAGAAAAAAATACATTAAGCAACTAACATAAGAATTAAAGGTAGAAAAAAGCAAGTGGACTAGTTACAGATCTTAGAACTGGAGGCATGATCTTGCAATGAGTTTCCTGTTTAGTTTTTATTCACTTTTTTTTTCCTATTTTGATGCCTTTTCTTTCTTTCTTTTTTAACTCTATTTAACTTCAGGTGCATACTGTATCTGACATTCCTCCCCATGTTATCTCTCCCCATGCTCCCCTCCCTCCCCACCCCCCACTGTCTCTCCTCTACCCCCGCAACTGCCCCCAGTGTGTGATGCTCCTCTCCCTGAGTCCACGTGTTCTCATTGTTCAGCACCCACCTATGAGTGAGAACATGAGGTGTTTGGTTTTCTGTTCTTGTGTCAGTTTGCTGAGAATGATGGCTTCCAGATTCATTCAAGTCCCTACAAAGGACACTAACTCATCATTTTTTATGGCTGCATAGTATTCCATGGTGTAGATGTACTACATTTTCTTTGTCCAGTCTATCATTGATAGGCATTTGGGTTGGTTCCAGGTCTTTGCTATTGTACACAGGGCTGCAATGAACATACGTGTGCATGTGTCTTGGTAGTAGAACAATTTATAGTTCTTTCCTTTCCCACCGGCACACTGAGACAAATCCTGAGGAGAGGAGCCCTGTGGACTTTCCTAACCTTACACCAAGAAGGTGGCAACAAAGAGGTGGGACCTCGTCACTTCCCCACTGTCATCACAGCAGCAAACACTGTAGGGTTGAGCCCTGTAAAATTGCCCAGCCCTACAGTCCTTTAGAGTGCCATTAAAAAGATGGACCCCTTCATTGGTGTGGAAGAGGCAGAAAGTAGAAAGGGCAGAACACTGGCATCAGTGTGGGGAGGCTAACTTTCCATATTTCTAACAAGAACACCCGGAAAGGGAAACCCTAGAAACCGAAGTCAGGGAAACGATCATGGAAAACAAGTAGCCAAAGAAGGTGACCATTTAAATCTGCATTTAAAGTCCCGGACAACCCCAACTTGTTCAGGCATGAAACTAAGTGAAATCAGCTCAGCAAAAACTTTGAACACTGAACTTTAGTGAAGACCAGTGCTCAGGCTGCAGTTTAAACTCTGAATGGCTCCCACACTGGGCAAACCAGATATAATTGCAGATTCTTTGAACATTAAATTGATATGGGAAAGACAAACCACAGAATACGGCCAGGATATACATTTACTGCCTGTTAAACAAAACAGAAAATTAGTGTTCTACAGAAAATTTAAATAGGACCAGTACCTCAAGATATAATACTTGAAATGTCCCAGATACAACCCAAACTATTCTATCTACAAAGAATTAGAAAAATATGAGCAACTAACATGCAAAAGAAAGTCAAGAGGCACCAACTGCAAGAGGACTCAAATGTTGGAATTATCAGGAATGAAATCTCTGAAGTATTTATTTAACTGTGTTCCAAAAAGTAAGGGCAAGCATTCTCAAAAATGATGGAAAGATAGAAGTTTCCAGCAAAGAAATAGAAGCTATACCTCCCCCCAAAAAAGCAAAACAAAACAAACAAAAAACTCAAAATTTTAGAACAGAAAAATAGAATAATAAAAATTTAAAACATCACTGGAAGGGTTCAATAGCAGAAAATATGTGAGAGAGGAAGGGGTTAGTGAACTTGAAGATAGAGCAATAGAAAAATAATCTGAACAATGAGAGGAACCAAAGAAGGAAGGGAGGAAGCCAGAGCGTTGGGGAGAGAGAGAGAAACAGAACCTCAGGGATCTGTGAGACAATATCGACAGGCCTAAAATTCAGAACATACAAGAAGAGAAAGTTGAAAAAAACCACAAACAAAAATCTCAAAGTGTATATGGAAGACTTAAATGACATCAGCAGCCAGCTTTACCTAATTGACATTTATGGGACCTTCCACCTCACAATAGCAGATTCATTTCAAACACAAATGGAACATTCACCACTAAAATAGTCCATATTATGAGTTACAAAGCAAACCTTAGTATATTTGAAATAATTAAAATCATTAAAATTATGGTTTCTGATTATAACAAATTAAACTAGAAAACAGTAACCGAATCATATCTGGAAAACACCCACATATTAGAAAATTAAATAAAATATTGCTACACATCAGTGTATGTCAAGGGGGGAAATCTCAAGGGAAAGTAGAAATAATTTTGCATGGAACAAAACTGAAAATATAACCAATCAAAATTTATGTGAATCAGGTAACACAGTGCTTAGAGTGAAATTTATAGCATTAAAAATTTATATGAGAAAAGAAGAAATGTCTCAAATCAACAATTTAAGCTTCTGCCCAACAAAATGCAGAAAGGAGCAAATAAAAAAGATGAAATAAATAAAATTGAGAACATAAAATCAATGTATCCAAGCTGATTATTTTTTTAAAAATTCATAAAATTGACAAGCCTCTGGTAGATTGACCAAAAATATATGAGAACACACAAATGATCAACATCAAGAATGAAAAAGGGAATATTATCATGGATCCAATCGGTTAGAAAAAGATAAAGGAACTTATGAGCAGCTTTATGCACGTAAATCTACAGCGGAGATGAAATAGACCAATTTCTTTGAACATGCAGATATCAAAACTGAATTAAAAAGATAGATAATATGTCTTCCTAGAAGTATTGTAAAACATGTTTCATAGGT